CTTTGTTGAAAAAGGATCACTTGCCTAGCTTGAAAAAGTGGCTGGTTAAACCAGAAGTTAGTGGCCGGGATACTGATGGTAAAGGTCGAATGGAAGGAGCATTATGGCACAGAAGCCACGTGGGAAAAGGAAGAGGATGTGAGAATCCGTTATCCGGAGTTGTTTATAGAGCAAGGTAATTTAAGTTTGGGGACCAAACTTCTTTAAGGGGGGTAGACTGTAGCAACCCTCACCTTACTCTTGTCATACTTGCATACATTCATGCATGATCTTGTCTTGTTATGATTGTTTTATAAGTTTTTCCTTGCCTTGTTTTGTTTAAGTGTTGCTTGCATGATTTTGTTCCTTGCTTGGTGTGTAGCCGAGGTCATCTTGAGCTTAGTTCACCTCTGAACCTTTGTACTTAGAACTGTTATGGAACCACTTGGTCGACCCCCATCTTCACCCCGGGCATGTTTGCCGAGATGTTTTGCACTTAGTAATCCTTGTCCCTAGGCAGGTATGGCCTAGACCGAGGTGTGGCACACCTCGGCCAAGGTGTGGCACAGCTTAGTCAAGTGTCGTCCTCCCTAGTCGATGTCTTTGTTACCTTGTTGCCGAAGCTTTGACTTTAGCCAATGTCATTACTTGCCGATGTGTCTTGCCATCTAGCTTGTTAAATACGCTTTGTCATAGACTTGTCTTATCAATCAATCACCTTTTGAGTTGAACCAACCCGGTAGTGCCACGTGTCCGAGCTGATTGTTAAGACAACCGGTAGACCTAGAAACAAATCATTTTGTCTCAAATCTTTGCCTTTAGAGAGAGAAGCTCTAGAGAAAGGAGGAGAAGTTCTTGAGGGAGAATAGATCTTCCAAGCTTGATCTTCGAGGTTTAAACCGTTGGGTTCGAGTTTTGAGGTTAGAATCTTAATCTACCCTTGTTGTTGTTATTGATCATCTAGCTGCATTGCATGATCGAATCTGTTTTGCATGTCATGCATCAGTTTGAAGTTGGTTTCGGAAGAGAAAGATAGTATTCATGTGTTCTTAAAGAAAGTCTCGTTTTGATCCGAAAGTTTGGAACAAGAACCATGTTTTTGTGTTCGTTCTTGCATGACCTTCCTGTATGGGTACCCAGGTCCATGTTTTGAACTCATGGCATGAAGTCTCAAATTTTTGTAGCAAGTTATGATCTTGCATTCATCTTTCTCATGATCGTGTTCATCATGTCCTTCATGTTCTTCAAAGGGAAACCCAGGTTTTCCCGACTTTGCTTTTGCATGTGGCCATCAGGACCACACCTCGGCAAGGGAGTGTGGGACCTCGGCAAAGACCTGGTTGGTACCCAGTGTGTTTTCATGGGACGGGAGCAGTGTTTAAACTCCCAGCATGTTTTGCTTTGTCATTGACTTGGATCTGGTGAGAATGCCGGGATCATTTGCATGCATATAAAGCTTGTTTTGAGAATGTGATTGCCATGTGATTGTAGGTCCTTGATCTTTGCTTTGAGCCTACACCCGAGGAGATCTATGTGAGTGGTATTTTTAATAAAGCTATGTTATACTGTTTTGATAAATCTTGCTTTGCTTTGTTTTGACGAAAGTATTTGTTAAGCATGAATGAATAGCTCTGTTTTGATGTATCAAGTATAAGCTTTGTTTTGATGCCATTCTTGAAAAGTCCCTTGTACTGGAGGACTCTAAACTTTCGCAATACTAAGTATGAAAGTCCCTTGTGCTGAAGGACTCTAAACTTTCGCAGCACCAAGTATAAAAGGATACGGTCCTTTCTTGGAAAGACTATCGTGTTAAAGCGGGCTACGGGCCTAAGTAACACAAGACCATCGTGTTAAAAAGGGCTACGGGCTTAAGTAACACAAGTCCCTTGTGCTGGAGGACTATAAACTTTCGCAGTACCTTTGACTAATCGATTACGGATCGTACAGTCTTTGTTTTGCCACTGACGGTTTACCACGTCGATTTGTTGGTTCAGAAAGCTTGATTTGTGTTTTGCCGATGCCAGTAAGCATCCCTTGAGACTTGTAAGACTTGATAGATGAATACGGTTCATCTCTTGCTTGATAAAGTTTTGATATGTTTTGCTCTGAAAGGATCTCGGCTAATATTCGTATGGTCTTGGCATGTTTTGTTTGGAAAGACTTCGGCTATATTCATGCAAAACCTTTATTACTAGTACCATTCACTGAGTATCCAAGCTCACCCTCTCTATATATATGTAGGTGATGAGCAGGACGTCGGCGACACCTAGAATGTGTTTTTGAAAGCTTGTTTTGGATCCATGGTTTTGTCGGCTTTGTTTTGTATTCACGTCGGCGATGCCCTTTCTTTTACGTCGGCGAATCTTGAAAATCATGCTTCTTGGATTGTATTCACTGTATTTTGTATATGTCGGCTCGAGAAACCTTTTGATCAAGATGTAATACGTATTTCACTTTGTTGTATTCAAGTTGTAAAGATGTATGCCATTATATTTGATCTATGCACTGCTCTTTTGGACCACTTGTATTTTGATTTATTTCTTCCGCATTTGTGAGCCCTGTTTATTATACTCTGATTGTGTTAAACTTTTGAAAGTTGGCCTTCGGTAAATCTCGGATTACTGGCCATCACGGCACCAAACTACTAGGGGCAGTTTGGGGTCGTGACAGAATGGTATCAGAGCACAAGTTCCTCAGTATACGTTATTCACACACTTTGAGTCCTAAAGAGCATAGGATTTCCCTTAGAAAAATGTTAGGATTGCATCATTGTGCTTGCTATTTGAACGAGGTGTGCATTGTCTTGACATACCTATTTGTTACTCGCCTACATGGTTATTTGCTTATTTGTTTTAAAGTCACACTTTGCATGCTCATAGCATCATGAGGAGAGGTAGACCTCCAATTGGCCGGGATCAGCCCGAAGATAGATTGGACAGACTGGAAAGATTAGTTGAAGGTTTGGCCCGTGAGTTGAGGCAAACAAGACAGCAGTACTCTAGTGCTACGTCGACTCAGGCTGTGCAGACCAACGGCCGAAATATAGTTCCGCCTCCACCTCCTCCAGTGCCGCAAGTTCCTCCACAGCCAGCCTTATATGGGGATGGCACGATAGCTTTGATCAGGGAGTTCAAGAAAATGAAACCACCGAGATTCTCTGGGGGTATAGAGCCAATGAAGGCTGAGGCATGGGTTTTAGAAATGGAAAAGTTGTTCGAGATCTTTCCTAGCACCGACGCTCAGAAGGTGACGTTGGCAGCATTCACGTTAGATGATGACGCTCGCAGATGGTGGATGATGGTTCGAGAAAGCAATCCAGATCTGACCTGGACCCGATTCTTAGAGTTGTTCTACAACAAACACTTTCCCCTAAGTGTTCGAAACCGCAAGGCTACCGAATTTCAGACTTTGACGCAAGGCAACCGAACAGTGGCGGAATACGACCGCGCTTTTACTGAATTGGTGAGGTTTGCACCTCACATGGCCAACGATGAATACATGAAGGCCAGGAAGTTCGTGAGTGGGCTTCGCGGACCGATTCAAGACCGAGTTAACTTGCACAATATGCTGACTTACGCCGAAGTGTTGGACAAAGCCATTCAGGCTGAAGCTAACCTGAATCGATACCAGAGCTCGAGGGAGAACCAGCGAAAGAGACAGAACTATGACAATCACCGAGCACAGCTGGGCACCAAGAAGAAGACGAACATGGGCAGTGCTGGTAACCTAAGGCAGAAAGGTAATGCTAAACCGACGTGCTCAGATTGTGGGAAGCAACATTTCGGGGTCTATCGTCGGACGTCTGGAGCTTGTTATGAATGTGGCGAAATGGGTCATTATGTGAAAGATTGCCCTAAAACAAAGGCTGATAACAACAAGAAAGGTGAGAATGCCTCGGGTTCCGTCCAGAAGGGTAATGTTGGAAGAGGACAGATGAGACAGGGCAGAGTATTTGCGCTAGTACCAGGGGACACTCAGAATGCTGAGGCAGTGGTGTCAGGTATACTCCTAATTTGCTCCCAAGATGCATATGTGTTGATTGATTCGGGTTCTATGCATTCGTTTATATCTACTAAGTTTGCCGAGAAAATTAATAGAGAACTATAGCCCCTTGATTATATATTATCTGTGTCTACTCCATCTGGGAGATCTATGATTGTTGTATCCGTTTATAGAGCATGTGTTGTTGTGATTGAGAATGTTGAATTGTTAGTAGATTTAATGCCTCTGGACATAACTCATTTCGATGTTATACTGGGAATGGATTGGTTAGTCGCAAATCATGCATCTATTAATTGTGTTTCGAAAAGTGTCACACTGAGACCCCCAAACCTAGCCGAGGTTATTTTCCAGGGTAAAGGGATAGTGCCCCCACCTTACTTGATTTCGTCCATTAAAGCCTATAAGTTAATTTAGAAAGGGTGTCGAGGCTACTTGTGTAGTATACTGAGTGATCAGAATGGAAATGTTAATTTAGCTGACATCCCAGTTGTTAGTGAATTCTCCGACGTCTTCCCAAAAGAATTGCCTGGCCACTTAGCCGATAG